CCAGTGGATCACCCAACAGTGAAGCTCATAGTCAACAATACTATGTACTCATGTACATGGAGCTTCAAATCAGCTTTAAAATCCCCACTCTGCAGTTTAAGCAGATAAGCAAAGTTTACCAGGCATTTGAGGAAAGAGCCTAACATGAAAGATAGAGACCAAAACAGACATTTAAAAAGGAACTTGAAGAAAACTGAGACTATGCAGACAGAAGAACACTTAAAAATACCATTAATATCATCAGAGGGTTAAAAGAATATATTACAATGATGAAACAAGAACAGGATACTACAAAAGAACATTCACAGAATTTTTTTTAAAAAAGCCCTTGCAAATTAAAAACACAATTGTAGAAACAGAAAACTGAATAAAGTGTGAGGAAATCTCCCAGAAAGGAGAGCATGCAGAGATGGAAGAAATGAGTGAAAAGAAAATTAGAAGACTTGTCCAGGAAGGTCCTATTATTGGAAGCGAATGAGCAAAAGTGGTACAATCATCTTAGAAAACAATTTTGCATTACCTGGTAAAGATGAACATACGTATACTGTACCACTGAGCAAGAGAATAAAGATTTATTAAATTCATTCATTTATCCAACAAATATTGAGCACCTGCTAAGTCATTGTGCTGGGCTTTGACTATACAAGAATAATAAACAAGATAGACAAGACCTCTGCCCTCACAGAAACCAACCAAGATTCTCATCTCAAGGCAGCTGGGAAGTATGACCCATCTCAGGCTCAATTTTGTCCACAAGGTTTGGGTTTTCGTGCAAGGAGTCTCTGGATAGATTTCCTGTGGGCAGAACATGTGTATGAAGGAATTGTAATTATTCTGTGGCTCAAAAGAAGAGTAAAAATTAGAACAAAGCTGGATTGAGAAAGAACCAACTGAATTTTTTAATTTTGATAAACTTGAACAGAGTTGTCCAAAGATAGAATCAATTGTTTGGGGAGGTGGTAAGTTGGCTGTCAGTGGAGGTGTTCAATACTAAGCAGGATTCATTCACTGAGTGATTGCATGATGGCTATGTGCTGGACACTGGACTAGGCACTGTATATTAGTTAGCCATTGCTGCATTGCAAATCACCCCCAAATTTAATGTCTTATGATCTCTCACAGTTTCTGTGGGTCAGTGGCTTGGCCGTGTGGTTCTGATTCGGGATCTGTCATGAGATTGCAAGTAGGACGTTGCCCGGGTCTACACTTATCTAAAGGCTTGACCAAGGCTGGAGGATCTGTTTCCAAGGTGGCTCACTCGTATGGCTGGCAAGTCGGTGCTGGCTGTCGAGGAGGGGCATTGAGTTGGAGTTCCTTCCTATGTGGACCCCTCCACAGGGCTGCCTGAGTGTCATCACGTCATCACAACATCACAACATGGTGGCTGTCTTCCCTCAGAGTCAACGGTCTAGGAGAAAGCAGCATGGAAGCCACAATGGCCTTTATGCCCTAGCTTTGGGAGTCATATACCATGACTTTCACAAAGCCTATTGATCACCTAGGTCAGCCCTCTTCAATGTGAGAGGGGCCACACAAGGTCATGAGTACCAGCGAGAGGAGGATCAGTCTCAGAGGCTGGCTACCACAGTGTGAATGCAATGATGAACAAACGAGTGGGGTGCCTGACCTCAAGGGTCTGTTAGCGTAGAGTTAGGATATTTCTTAGAGATGATGTCAAAGGAACAGGACTGAGACACAAGACAGATCCCTCCAGTCCTAACGTCCTGTGATTTTGTTCTTCTAGGTCTTAGTTCTTTACCCACTGTATCACTAAGCCACCATCTCAGAACCAGCAACTCACATCCTCGTTCTTCTGCCACGGGCAATTCTGAGGTCTCCATTATTAGCTGCTTGTCATCACACAGCGACATAACATGGTCCCACTCTTGGTGCTCTCAGATACAGAAGTCCCTGGATAACCCCACGCTTGTTGTTTCTCTCCCCAGAGTGCACCACTGCCTGTTCTCCTCTTCCTGGGAGCGCAAGGTGTCCTATGATAATGCCAAGAGAACACTGTGTCCCCATGCGGGAGCTACTTTCGATCCAGCTGGGCAATCCCTCAACAGCAGCAATGCCCTGTGGGTTCAAGAGGAGAGCGGGCCCCGCCCCCCTTTACCCTGTTGTGCTCTTCTGTCCCTAATCAGGACCATGCCAACCACCAGACACTTCAGGGGCCGTGACCCCTCGGACGTTCTCAGATGACTTTTTACCTTCAAACTTTGTGGAAGGGTGCAGGGGCATGGCTAATGTCTTAGCCTGGCCCACACTGGTGCTGGTCGACCCTCGGTTTGGTGCACTAACCCATGCGCACGGAGGAGTCTGTTATCTCCAGTTCACCCGAGGAGCCAGAGGTGGCTGGGGGAGCTTCAGGCCTGAAATTGTGCTGGGCTCTGGCAGGACCATTGGGAGATACTGATGTGGGCTGCACCGGAGTCCAGAAAACGCCCTCCCCTGCCACTCGCAAGGGACTCTTAGGGCTCAGTTCTCCCGTGTGTAAGTGCTTCAGTCTTGCCAGGTGGTAAAAACTGGATCCTGGCGAAACTCTGGTGAATATTTATTCACTTGTTTGTTTGTTTCTAGTTTTTAAAGTAATACTATTAGGATGGCTATTTTTAAACACAACAACAGAAAATAACAAGTGTTGGAGAAGATGAGAGAAAACAAACCCTTGTGCACTGTTGGTGGGGATGTAAAATTGTGTAGCTGCTGTAACACACAGTATGGAGGTTCCTCAAAAAATTAAACAGAATTACCGTGTGATCCAGCAATTCCACTTCTGAGTATATTCACAGAAGAATTGAAAGTAGGGACTTGAAGAGGTATTTCTACACCCACATGCATAGCTGCATTCTTCACAACAGCCAAAAGGTGGAAGCAACACAAGTGTGCACAGACAGATGAATGGATAAACAGAATGTGATCTATACATGCCGTGGAATAGTATGCAGCGGTCAAAAGGAATGAAATTCTGATATATGCTACGACACGAGTGAATCCTGAAAACATTATGCTAAGTGGAAGAAGCCAGACACAGAAGTAAAACTATTGTATGATTCCACTTACATGAACTATCTAGAATAGGCAAACTCTAAGAGACAGAAAGCAGACAAGCAACTACCAGGAGGTGGAATGGGGGAGTGGTAACGGGGAATTACTTAATGGATACAGAGTTTCCGTGTGGTGATGAAGAAATTTTGGAGATAGTGGTGATGGTTTACAACATTGTGAATGTAATTAATGCCACGCCACTAAACTGTACACTTAAAATGGTTAAAATGGCAAATTTTATGTTATATATATTTTACCACAATAAAAAACTAATACTAAAACATTATCTTAAAGTCCCAACACTACATAAATCTATAAAGTAGAAAGAAAAATCCCATTCTCCGGAGAGGAGACCCGATGAATTGACCATCTAGGTTTAGAGAGTTCTTTCTTCCGTGTAGAGGGCATCCCCTCTTCTCTATGGGATTCTTGGTGGGGCCCACACTTCCCACTGTGCTGGGCTTACCCTGGTGGCGCCACAGCCTGGTAGTTAAAAGTAAAGCTCTCTAGCTGGATGGCCTGGGTTCCAATCCCAATTCCACCACTTGCTAGATAACGTTACGTCAGCACCCTGTACTGCCTTTTTCTCACCTACTGCATCTTTGATGTCACTTTCTGTTGTGAGGATGATATGAGTCGATGTGGTACATATGCCATGATTTTTTAAAGCATCTAGCATTAATGAGTAGAGTGTCAGCTTTAGTGTCATCTCTGTATTTAAAATTTCTAGAAGCTTCTGCCACTGGTCGTTCCTTATTGGCCATGATCTTGGGCTGTGGGGCAGGGGGTAGCTTCCTCTTTTACTCCCTGTCGTCCCTTGGTGTCTTTCCCTTGAAAGCCCTGTATCCCCATTCTGGGAAGGAAAGGGGTGCCGGGCTAGACGTGGAGACCTGGGGTCAGAGCTAACAGCTGGGAGGTCAAGTCATTTGGGACGAAGGCTTGAACTGGCCCTTCTCTGGGGCTCCCTCCTGGGGAGGGTCTGTGAGCCTCTGAGGGTGGGGGGATACCCCACCTCCGAGGCTGCAGCAGCAGTCCACAGCTGGCTGTGCTGATGAAACTGCTCAGAGCCCGACTCCTCTCTTGCCCTGCCCCCTGCCCCAGCAGTTGGCAACCCGGGCCCCAGACCGACAGGCCCCGTTGCAGGAGACTCCAGGGCAGAGCTCACCAGGGCCCCACGGGCACCTGCTCCTCCCGACCTCCCAGGACTCTGCCCGGTCTCTAGGTCGCATTCCTCAACTCTGGAGACCATGGGTTTAGCAGTCAAGAAATTTCTGAAATAAGCAAGAATCGATATAATGGAAGTGTGACGGGGTGGGGTAGAATAAATCGAAATTCACAGCAATAAGTCAGGTTAAAGGCACAAAAGAGCTCATGCCAGGAGGGACAGTCTCCCCCACTGTGCCGTGAGCTCTCCAAAGCCAAAGACCCTGTCCTGACTGCGTCGGTGGCCCTCTCAGAGTGAAGCACATTGTCAGATCGATGCTCCACAAAAGCTAGTTTGCTCATTGCCTGGTGCCTACGATTCCACATACAAGAAATACCTAGAGCGGGAAAACTCACTGAGACGGAAAGCAGTGGTGGCCGAGGACCGGGGGAAAGTTACTGTCTAATGGGTACGGAGTTTCAGCTGGGAAGATGAAAAAGTTCTGGAGATGGACGGTAGTGATGGTTGCACAACGAGGTGAATGTACTTCATTGAAGACATTTGTTGGCTGAGTGAGTAGAAGCGGGCTGCGTATTTCCTCTTTGGGTAACACATGACACCTTTATCCACCTCCCCCTCGAGCTACCCCCACACCTCTCTCAGCACACCCTGCCCTCCGCCCACCCCCGTCGCACCTCCCAGCCCTCCGTGTCCCTCTAAGCATCCCCTGGCAGCCCCTGCTAAGCTTTGCCAAGCCCTCACCTCAGGCCCTGCAACACCAAGGATTCCCACGGTAACCAGACTGGGCTAGCTTCTCAGCAGCTTTATTGAGTAGCGAGAGGTAGTGTCACTTTCCACTGGACAGGTATCCACGGGTTGGTACCAGGACTGCTTTGGGACAGACAGACAGACAGGGGGCAGGGCAGGGCAGGTGTCAGTGGTGGGGCAGGAGCAGCAGGTGTAGCTCAGCCCTCCAAAGGGGCAGGCGTCGGCTCCTGGGCGGTGAGGGCGTGGGCCTGGATCTCTTCCTCCTTGAGGGTGTTGAAGAAGGTGTTGACTTTGTCCCGCAGGTCCTTCTCCAGGAAGCTCAGGTGGTGTTCCATGTCCCCCGCCAGGGGGCCCAGCTTCTGCCTGAGCCCCTCCACCTGCTGCACCATAGCTTTGTTGAAGGTCTCGCCGTAGGGCCCCACGGTGTGGCGGAATTTCTCCACCTGCTGGTCCAGGTGGCTGCTCAGCTCGGCCAGCGACTTCTGCAGCTCCTGGGCGTTGCCCTGCAGATTGCCACGCACGCTGTCGGTCACGGGCTCCAGCTTCTGCCGCAGCTCCTCCGCGCGGGCCGAGACCTTGGCCTTCAGCTCCTCGGCGTGCTTCTTCATCTGGAAGGCCAGACCCTCGAGCTGGTGGCTGAGCTTGCCCTGGACGTCCTGCGCGTAGGGGGCCAGGCTGCGGCGCAGCTCCTCCACGTTCTGGTCGATCTTGGCCTTGAGCTCGTCGGTGTAGGGCGTGAGGCGCGCCTTGAGCTCCTCCACGTTCTGGTCGATCTTGGCCTTGAGCTCCTCGGCGTAGGGCGCCAGCGAGGCCTGCAGGTTGTCCATGTTCTGCCTCAGCACCGCCTCCATGCGCTGGGCGTAGGGCGTCAGCTGGCGCTGCAGCTGCTGGGTCTGGGCGTTGACCTGCGCGCGCAGCTCCTCCGCGTAGGGCTCCAGGCTCTGTTGCAGCTGGCGCATGTTGGCCCCGATCTTCTGGCTCACCTCGCTGGTGTGGGGCAGCAGCCGGGCCCGCAGCTCCTCCAGCTCTTTCCGGATCTCCTCCTTCAGCTTCTCTGAGTCTTCGGTCAGGCGTTCGTGCAGCTCCGTGGCAAAGGGCACCAGCTTCTTCTGCAGGTCATCCTTGTAGGTGTTCACTTCCCCAAGTTTGTCTTGGAAGAGGGTGCTGGAGCGAAAGGACACAAGGGGGCCACCGTTACGCTTGGCCCTCCATGCCAGGACCTTGACTCCTTCCATAGCACTCACCTTACACACACCTGCCTAGGACAGGTGAGTGTGCAGGTTACTGAGTTCACCCATCTTCTCCCTGTGGCCTTCCCTATGGTGGATCATGATTTGAGCAAATGGATGTAATAGACGAAGGTATTAACATTGAACTTGTATCTCTGAATCTCCCCCTGAGCTTGAGTCACAATATCTACCTATCATGTGACCTGGAGCAGTTTGCTTTCCTCTGCTTACCTGTAAAGTAAAAAGTGTGGACTCTGAGGTCCTTCCCAGCCCAGGTGTGCTGTGACAGAGATCACATTCCCTAGTAGAATGTTATGTTCTGGACCTCTTCCAGCATCTGCTAGCTACACCAGGTGCTGCTTCCCTGCCATGTGCCCACCCTCAGAAGCTTGCCAAATATCCCCACCTCCCTTCCCATGATTTCACAGAGGCTTGTCCTTCTGGAATGTATTAGAAGCCAGCTCATACGACATTTCTTTCCCTTCCTTTCTTCTGCGAGCCGCAATACTAAGATGTGGCCATTCGTCATGCTCTAGAAAGTTAAAGCAGGGATTATTCAGCCCAACTTTTCTGTTTGTATATGTGGATCCCAGGTCTGGAGACCTTGGGTCCCCAGAGAGTTGGTGGCAGGGCAGTGGGTATCCTAGGCTCAGGTCTCCTGCCTCCGATTTCAGCCCTTGCCCACTCATTGCATGGCCTTTAAGAAGCTCCACCTTGCAAGCTCTGCCCCTCTTACTTGAGCTGCTGGGTGAGCTCAGACTGCTGGAGATGTTCCACAGCCTTCTTGGCATTGTTGCTCAGCTGGCTGAAGTAGTCCCAAATCACAGTGGCCACCTGGTCGGCACTGACCTCCGCCTGGGCACCTGGGTGGAAAACAGAGCAATTCACGAGGACCTGTCTCCTTCCCTGCCCCTCTGCACCAGCCTTGAGCTGCAGACCGGATGATGGGGGGGAGCCCAGCCACTGATTTCCTTCTCTATGCTTGGCTAGCTGGAAGCTACGGGGGTATGTAAAATGCGTATAGCACCAATGCCAGGGGGCCCGCCGCTGTGAATGGACTAGCTCCTCTGAGCCGGGTGGCAACCGGGCAGCCGCCTGCATCCAGCTGTGGGCTGACAGGTGCTCAGAACTGTCCTCTTACCTTGGCCTCAGACTCTCCACCCTTCCCTGCCTGATGCAACAGATGGGTCCTGCCTGAAAGTCCCATCCAAAGGCAGCTCCTACTCACCGGTGACAGCCACCAGGGCCAGGCTCAGGACCACAGCCTTCAGGAACATCCTGGGCTCCTTGCTGGGCTGGAAAAGTCTCTTACTGCACTGGATCCTTCCTGGGTTCAGAGGGGGCCAAAGGAGAGGTTCTCAGGCAGCTCACCTATGCTGCTGTTCGAACTGATTGAAGCTCAGAGCCAGCCAGACATTTAAATCCCCACCGGGCTGCACTCCCCGCCTTCCTCCCCATTGTGACTCCACGCTGGAAGGTGACACATTCCCAGGAGGCCTCTTGGACTTTCGTGACTCTAAGGCAACGTGGAAGCTGACGACAGACTGGAGCCCGGGAAGCAGTCAGAAGCTCTGTGCACGTGCCCCACCCAGCATTGAAGGGAGGATGGGTGAGGGGCCATGAGCTGGGGAAGAAACGAGGCCTAGGGAATACCTGAACCTGGGACTGATGCCCCAGAGGCCCTGTGGCAGCTCTGAGTCTGTGCCAGGCTTGGTGGGGGTGATGGGGAGGCAAAGTTCACAGCTCCTCTGTCTGCTCCAGTGAGGAGTGGCCCCCCACTCCTACATCCCCGGAACCGGACTCCATTTCAGAGCACCAGACTCTGGGCTGGGACATCCAGGGCCACAGGTGCGGGCAGCGAGCTGAGATCCAGTGCTCTGGTCAAGGTGCACCCAGGAGCAGGGGACCCCTGCAAGCCTTTGGGAATGTGGGTGGAGTTGGGGGGTGTCCCGTGTCGAAGGTGTTAACTGTAAGTGTGCTTCATGTCCCATGTCCCATCACTGCCAAGTGTGTCACCTTGGTCTAGTGATTCAACTTGGCGTAGCCCTGAGCCTCAGTTTCTCCTTTGAAAAATGGGGTTGTTGGGTATATTAAATGAGATATCGCTGGTGAAGTGAGTAGCACAGTGCCTGACAGAGTAAGCACTAAAAATTAGTTGTTATTGTTGTTAATAATAATATTACTATTTTCCTAATTTGGATCAAAGCAGGGAATACAGTAGAGTGCTCACTGCTCCATTGAGAGTGGCAGAGTTAGACCCAACCCTCCGGGGGTCATCAGGCAGGCGTGATGCAGGGTGAGGGGCAGGCTGGCCCGAGGCCTGATTTCTGCCCACCTCTCCAGCCACACTCCCTGGGTGGGAGCGGCCAGCTTGTGATGAATCACATGACCTGAGGCTCTCAGGGGGCCTCTCACCAGGGGATGATGGGGATGGTGGTGGTGTCCAGGAGATCTTCTCCTTGGGCTTCCAACGTTCTCTCCAAATGAGATCACGCACAGGAAGATATCCACCAAGAAGGCGACACAGCCTGGTCAGCTTGGGCCCCTCTGCTGGACCACACACATCACCGTGAGAGACTATGAGATGAGATCCATCGTATCGCACTGTTGGCTGTCCTCTGCAAGTGCAGTGCCTGGGACATAGATGGGCTTCCAGTAGTCTGCCATTGGAATAGACCACAGTTGTGCTAACCCTGACTTCCATGTCTCCGTTTTTTCATATACCAGAAGTGGCTTGCTGTATCGTGGGATGGAAGACAGCTAGAAGGCTTTCTGATGCTTGCACCCCTTCTGCAGAGTCCCCACTACCCAGCAGTGTCCCACACCACCCGTGGTCACTTCCAGCATCAGGGAGCTCCTCCTTTCTGGAGCAGCCCGTGCCGTCTCGCAGTAGTTATTAAGGGTTCCAGTGCTGGAGTCGGACGCCCTGGGTTTGCGTGTGGGCTCCCCACGTACTGACTGTGCGATCTTGGGTGAGTGTCTTAACCTCTCTGAGCCCCGTCTGCCTCAGCAGGGTGTAGAATAGTACCCGCCTCCTGAGGAGTCAGGGAGCTAATCTGAGTAATGCTGGGAATGGTGCCTGGAGCAGTGAGTGGTCATCAAGTACGAGCCACGTTTTACCCCTGAACGCTTTACCTCCCTGCAGCCCTCCCGAATCACGCACAGTCCAGCCTGGGCTGGGTGCAAAGGTCAGTGTCCCATCCCTTCCCTCCTCCAGGCCAGAGATGAGGAGGGCAATGAGTCACCAAGGACACTCAGTTGAGTTTGGCCTCCTGGACTGACCGTCTGAGCAGTGGGCTTCTGGCTGGCACGGCTGAATCAGCACTGCCCAGTCCAGCCTTGTGGCAGGGGCGTGGGTCACAGAGGCTCATGTGCTAAGCGTCACTCGGACACTAGTGGAAGCAGAGTCAGTCCAACCCCAGAGGACCATTTTTGGCCTCAGCTGGTCAGGCCTTCTCCCGCCCACCCCCCTCCTCTCCTCCCACAACCAGTTATGGTCTGGGGGCCAAGCCTGGAGCGGTCTCCTCATTCCAGGGCAGCCGTGGTCGCGGGGGAGGGAGAGAAGAAGGCGGGGAGAGGTGGCTTAGTCTGGGCCACCGATAAGACCCTTACTGAGATAGCCCTACTGAGACCCAGCTGGAGCTGCTGGGAGGGATACAGGCACAAAAAGGCGCCAAGCCCTTTGAAAGAGTTAAGGTCCCAGGCCCCATGGCATGTTGCAGCCCAGCTGCATGGACCCTCACACCCCGGTTCTCTGCCCAGCTTGGCACCTCACCGCTGGGTCTCTCTGCCAGCGTCTTCTGACCTCCCTGGGATCAGTGGCCCATTGCTGAGCAGGAGAGAGAGCACAGCCTCCTCCAGACCCTCCACATGCATGGAAAGAGAGCTGGAGGAAACAGGGCCAAGGGCTCCAGCCAGCGCATTCTAGCCTGCCCCAGCCCAGCCTGGAACCTGGACTCCCACTGTGGCCCTCACCCCCGGGGCCGAGGAACAGGCCAGAACAGAAGAGGGAAGTGGACACAGTTGCCCTGTACCTTCCCCAATGTCCACATCCTTCCGTGACCTCCTAATCACCTTCCTTTCCTCCCCACCCCATCACCAAAATCTGTACTCAGGATCTGAAACGGATTGACTCTGATGAGTGAGTGACGCAAATCGCCACGGGTCTCATCTCTCCAAGCGGTTCGGTACCAGCGTGGCTATTTGAACACCTGGATTCTTGTTCCCAGCTCTGCCACTGATGGGCTATGGGTACTTGGGTAGGCCTCTGGCCCTGCCTTCGGTTTCTCACCTGTAAAATGGGGTTAATAATGTCTACTTCACAGGAATCTATTTGTATTTTAGCAGATAACAAGGTCTAAGTCAAAGGAGTGAATCTGTATGGAGAAACTTCAAGTCTCAGCCACAGATAAAGAATTCTGAGGGTAGAGCCAGGTCACTTTCTCAGGCCTGTGATTTCACACTGTGGGTTTAGTTCCTTCCTCCCGAGAAGAGGGCCGCCTGTCAAAAGCTCTACTTCTACATTGGAGGCTCCTTCCACCTTCAGACTGTGCTGTCTAGGGAAGGACAAGGTGTTTGGGAGAAAGGGAGAGAGATTTATGAAGCCGCCTCCATGAACCAGCTGCTTTGTACGTATCTCATTTACGTTTCACCACGATTCTGGCATATCGGTATTCTAGCCCCATTTTACAGAGGAGAACATCGAGGCACTGAGGTGTTAGATCTCTGGCCCTGGGTCATGTGAGTAAGTGCTCAAGTCATCATTTAAACCTAGAATTTCCTGGCTGTGATGTCTTCACATCCAGAAGACAAAGGCCCCTGATCCTGCCATCCAGGCTACAGCTCCCAGTGTGGGCCCAAGGGACACCTCACCCCGAGAAGGGCCCAGGCCTCTCCTGGACAGCTGACTGCCCCTGTAGCGCTCGTCTGGCCCCTCTCGCCACCAGACCAGCCTCACCACAACCTTGGTTCCCTTCGGTTGCCTGGCCAGCCAGGGGAGCTGAGGAAGCTGAAGCCCGAGGTGAGAGTACTCAGCGCTGGGACTCAACCCCAGCTGCCGCGGTTTGGGGAGGGCCCCAAACATGAGCCTGGATCCTGTCCCAGGGAATGTTATCAGTGGGTCCAGAGAGCAAGGTGAGGAGGAGGGGGTGGTAGGATAAAGGCCTGGGACTCAGAGCGGCCTTTGACCTTCTCCCACCACCCCCTGCTCTGGGATCAGCTCAAGGAGGCTTCTGGGTAAGCAGCACAGGGACTGAAGCCCAGAGGTGGAGATGCTGGGGAGGTGGCTGTGTGCCCTTAACTGTGTCCCACCTCCCCGCACAAGCCTCTACCCATAGGTCTTCTGTGACTTCACTCTAGGCACCCCATCCCGACCCGCTGAGTTGTTCCCAAGTCTGAAACAGCCCATCCCCCTCTCACATCACCCACCCCCCTTGCAGGCTGTTGTCAGGGCTTGGGGCTGGGGGTGGAGGGGCGGGAAGGACCTGGAGCCCAAGTGTGAAGGGCTGAGCTTTGGCCTCTAATCCCTTCTCCCATTTCGCCAGCCTCTCCCTGGGGAGCCAGGCTGATCAGGATGAATGGGGTCTCCCCAGGCCCACGCCACCCCCGGGTCCTGAGCCCATGTGGGCTACAGGGGTAGCAGAGAGCAGCATGGGCACCCATAGCTTTCTAGAGATTTCCCACCTCCCAGCAGGCCTGACTGCCTCTGGCTACCCTCTCTCAGTCCCTGGTCTAGATTGATCAGCAGGTGACCTTTGCCCAGCTCCCTGGGCCCTCAGTGCCCGCTGCCCTGGGGACAATATAAAACAGGTCAGAACCCTCTTGCCTGCTTACTCAGTTCATCCCAAGAAGCAGCTGCTCCAGGTAATGCCCCCTGGGGGGAGGAGGAAGAGGAAAAGGAGAGCAGGATGGAGAGGGCCAGGCTGGGGTCCCTGCCCAGTGCAGCCAGCAAAGCCTGGAGAAGAGCCTGCTAGAACCGAGGAAGCCTTAGGGCTCGATGAGCGTCCCCTCCCCAAGGCATTCTGGGGAAACCGAGGTCCGTGGGGGAAGGTCACCGGCCCAAAGCTACGTAGAGCGTAGTGGCAGAGCTGGGGCTGGCACTGGCTCCATTTTCCATGCATTCTGCATGCTGAGGACTAGAAGAAGCCTCAGACACCCCAGTCCTACCCCAGGCAGAAAAACTGGGGTCTGGAGGGTACAGAAAGCCACCCAGAGTCACACAGCATTTCAGTGGCGGAAACCTGGCCAGGACGCAGGTGTCTTGATTCCCGGTCTGGTGGGGTTTCTGCTCCATGCCACTCCTCCCTCTCTCTGGCCTGGGTCCCCCAAGTACCCTATCTGAAAGCCTTTAGCCTCCCCCATACTAGGACGGGAACAGGCCCTTCCTCCTCC